AGGTGCTTAAAGCTTATATGTTTATCCCATTACCTGCTTTCAGAATTCAATTCTTGTCCAGAGTGCTCATGTCATAGTAGTCCCTTCTCTACCCTAACTGTCCTCTACCCATCACTTGAGGCAAGCAAGCTTCCAACCATGAACCAGTGGACCAGATATTATTTTATTATTTTATCTATTTCAGTATTTAAAATAATATTTTCTGATATTGGAAAAAATAATTATGCTATATTAAATTTTTTGTTGAAGTAGCCTTCATGCACAAATTTTATATATATACATATATTAGAATTAAAATTCTAAGCCTCTTCAAAATATTTTATTTTGAGGGTTCCTGCAACTGAAATACCAATTAACACTCTACAACTATCTACTTGGTTCCCTTCCTTTGTTTGCTTAATCCTATACTTCGCTAATAACATTATTTCTTTATGTGTTTTCTTGAGAGTAATTTTTTGATAGAATGGGAGCTTAAGTTTTCCAGATAAAATGGTCGATGGGTGACTAATACACAAATTGTAAGGTATTTAATTGTAGTCTAAAATTTCCCACTATAGTCATCAGAATATAGTCATCCTGTTTTCTCAGAAACTAAGTTACAGGCTTAGGTATACCATATGTAAGCTGTTACATGTGATACTGCGTCCTTATTTCGTTCTCCTTGTTTGTTTTAATTTTGCCCCTCATTCATATTTTATCTGACAGTAGTGGTAGAATATGAAAATACAGGGTATTTTTGTGTAATGAAATGTGTCCTATATTTATCTAAAACTTATATCAAAGCTTCAAATTTATTTTCAGTTCTCTGTGCTTTAGTACTTCAGATTTTGGGTTTATGTAACTTGATTGATATCTCATTTATGCCTTGGAATTATTAGTAAAACAAAGTATTTAGGTAATTGAAACCTTTCCTTGAAATGTGCCATTTCTCTTAAAGAAATGTTGCTTAATGTGTCCACTACTTCAAAATATAATATTTTATAAAATAAAATATATCTAGGTAAAAAATAATAACATTTAATATAAAATTAAAATGATGCAATGTTTTAATCTCTATAAGATAAAATGGTGGCACAATTACTGATTACATTAATAAAAGCCATAAGGGAGTTAGAGAGCTACCTCAAAGCACCGAGTGATGGTCTGTCTGCTGCAAATCCTAGTTCAGTCTCTATCGTCACTTGGTGCCCTGAGCAATGGAAACAGAGCTGGGAGTAGCTCCAATGCATCACCAGGTGCAGGAAGTGAGTGACAAAAATATTGAGTAAAATAAAATTAAGACCATATATATTTTGCCTCTACTGATCTTAATTTTTCAGTTTTGTAAACATTTAAAATTATGCACTGAATCATATTTATATGACCATGGCCAGAATAGACTCTTCTTAAGAGTAACCAAGTTTAATTGTACTATAATCTGTCTTCAGTATTTAACACATATGAAAATTATGAGCAAGAAAAAAAGAATAATGAATTTTGTGATTAAGACTCCTTGCTGCTGAGTTTTGCTTACATTTTCCATGAAAAGTGATTGCTGCAAAGAATAGTATAGCGAATATCAAAAGCAAACACAAAGTAAATTCTTGTTCTTTTCAAAGGCAGTTACATTCTACATCTTTTCCCTATTAAAACATAGTTTGTGGGAGGGAGGAAAGAAGAAGTTGTAAAAGCTTGTACTTGAGAAGCAAAACAGGATTCTCTATAAGGAACACAAAGCAAAGACACCGGCACACATGTATAAAATGATCTGTTTTCATATAGTAACTGATACACGTATGTTTTATATAGTACCTGATATATTTATATAGATATATATCCCAGTATAGTATATTTACTAGATGATTAATATAAGTCTTATTGTATATGCTTATGTATTAAGGCAAATGGGTAAGAGAAAACCGGGAACATTAGTGGTTTTAAATGTACACTGGTGAAGAGACTGGTGTTGGAATATTACATGACTAAAACCCAATAACGAATAACTTTTTAACTGTGTATGTCACTGTGATACAATTTTAAAAATAAATTTTAAAAATATAAAAGCTTATAGTATATAGGAACTTTCCACACAAACTTGACAACTTGAGTCTTTATCTAATAGCATCAGACAATGATATCAGGGCCTTCTAGCAGCAGGTAGGGCATTTCTCTTGCACACAGCCTACCCAGGTTCATTTTCTGGCATCCAAGTTGGTCCCCTGAGCACTGCCAGGAGTAATTGCTGAGGGCAGACCCAGGAATCACCCGAGGGCACACCTGAATGTGGCCCATAAATGACTACAACAATAACAACAACAAAGGATAGCACCAGTCACCAATAATCAATCACATATTTTTCACATAATAATTTTCAATGTTAGGGGCTGGAGCAATAGTACAGCGGGTAGGGCATTTGCCTTGCACGCAGCCGACCCGGGTTCAATTCCAAGCATCCCATATGGTCCCCCAAGCACCGCCAGGAGTGATTCCTGAGTGCAAAGCCAGGAGTAACCCCTGAGCGTCGTTGGGTGTGACCCAAAAAGCAATAATAATAATAATAATAGGGGGCTGGAGAGATAGCACAGCGGATAGGGCGTTTGCCTTGCACGCAGCCGACGCGGGTTCAATTCCCAGTATCCCATATGGTCCCCTGAGTACCGGCAGGAGTAACTCCTGAGTGCAGAGCCAGGAGTAACCCCTGTGCATTGCCAGGTGTCACCCAAAAAGCAAAAAACAAAATCAAATAATAATAATAATAATTTTCAATGTTATAGGCACTTTCAATACTTTCCCTCAATTGAACCTTACCATATCTCAATAAAATATTATTCTAACTCTCAATTTTTTTTATAAAGTACAAAGGAATGGTGCCTAGAAGCAAGGCTGAATTCAGAGCTTCCGTCCACTCTTTGGTAAATTCTAAATGTTAGGATCCTGGTCTACCTTTGAATACCTGTTTCATTTACCCCCACCCTCTATTTCAGAGCATAATATGCCTGTGAAGGAAAAGGAAGCTCAAGTATTTTACATGAAACATGTTCAAATTATACGTAAATTTAAATTCCTTATTTATTGTTAATGGCCCGCTTAAGCAAACTGATGAACAGTGAGAAGACAGTGATACCAGTGATGCTAATATTGAGGTAAAATGGTTATAATAGAATTAATATTAATGCTTTTGGTGTTGAAAGTAACTGCACCTCATCATGACTAAAGTGCTTTAAGATTCCCCACCCCGAATGGGGTGTTGGAGGGATACTGGGATCAGTGGTGGTGGAAAATGGGCACTGGTGGAGGGATGGATATTCAATCAGTGTATAATTGAAACCCAAGCACAAAAATTTGTAAGGCTACAAGAGTACCTCATGGTGTTTCACTAATAAACATTTTTAAAAAAAAGATTCCCTGCCCCTATCCTTCCTCTATTGTGAATTCTTTACCCAATCTGAAGACCCAATGCGCTAACTCAACATTTGAAAATAATTTTCCACCTATGAAATGCATCTCAAACTATTTAACTATCTCATTTTCTTCAAATTCTAAACAACAGATTAATTGAACTCTGGCTTATATAATAATATGTCTCTGTCTTTAATAAATACATATTCTGTTATTGTTTCCATATTTTTGGTAAACCTCTATATCTAGTAAGATTTCAACTGATCTTGAATGTAGCAATAGTACCAAAGATTAAGGTAAAAGGTAAAGGCCCTCCCGTTGATCGTCGATTTGCTCGAGCGGGCCCAGTAACGTCTCCATTGGAGACTTTGTTGTTACTGTGTCTGGCATATCGAATACTCTCGGTAGCTTGCCGGGCTCTCCGAGAGGGGCAGAGGAATCGAACTCGGGTCGGCCATGTTGGCCGCTTGTAAGGCGAACGCCCTACCCGCTGTGCTATCGCTCCAGCCCCAGTACCAAAGATTAACAATTTTTTAAAATTTTTTATTTTGTACAGAATCAACCATATGAGATACACAGTTACAAAATTGTTCAGGATTGAATTTCAGTTATATAATGTTCCAATACCTGACCCTTTGCCAGTGTATATTTCCCACCACCAATGTCCTCATATTCCCTTCATTACCCAGAGTGAGCCTGCCCCCATAGCAGACATTGTTCTCTTTTCTTTCTCCCAGTTTTCCTTTTTAGGCACAATGGTTGTCAAGAGTGTTACTGAAAGAGTATCATGCATATCACTTGACCTCCTTTCAGCACCCAGATCTTGATCAGAGTAATCATTTCCAACCCTATTGATGTTGAAAAGAAATTTTGTTATTGGGCCACATCCTGGAGTGTTCAGGGATTACTCTTGGCTCCTCACTCAAGAACTGTTTGTGGCAATGCACAGTGGGCCATTGGGAGGCCAGTTTAAACTGGGATCAGCCATATGCAAGGCAAGAATCCTACCTATTGTGCTATAACTCTGATCCAGAAGCTGAAAATTTTTGACCAAACATTATGATTCCTCATGTTTCTAGTCAATTTGTTAAATTAAAGGCACTTACAGATTCCAAATTAACAGTCCCACGGTATTTGCTAATAATAATTATATTGATCTGTGTGTACATAAAGAAAATTCACACTGAAGAAAATTAATGCAGGCCAATAAACATTTTAAGTTCTCACATTTTTTTTCATTTTAATGAATCATCATGAGATACAGTTACAGACTTGCAAATGTTCGTGATCACATTGTAATCAAACAATGCTCGAGTACCCATCCCTCCACCAGTGCCCATTCTCCACCACCAATGTTCCCAGTGTCCCTCCCGCCACCCCCACACCTTCCCACCCCCTGCCTCTGTGACAGAAACATTCCTTCATTTACTCTCTCTCACCTTTTGGGTGTTATGGTTTACAACATGGGCACTAAGCAGCCATCATATTTGGTCCATAGCCTACTTTCAGCGTGAATCTACCAAGCTGAGTGATCCCTCCAATCATCATTTGCTTAGGAGTTCTCACATTTCTTAAGTTAGATACTAATCACAAAGTTCTCATTGAATTATAGATTAACACTCATGGACAACACAAGCTGGGCATCAAACCACACTGGATGGTCAGATTTTATCCTATTGGGATTCTTCACTCAATCGAATCACCCAGCTCTTCTTTGTGCCGTCATTTTTGTGGTTTTCCTGCTGGCCTTGTCTGGAAACAGCATTCTGATCCTTCTGATACACTGGGATATCAATCTCCATACTCCAATGTACTTTTTCATCAGTCAGTTGTCTCTCATGGATGTCATGTATATTTCAGTCACGGTGCCCAAGATGCTATTGGACCAAGTCATGGGTATAAACACAATTTCACCTTTTGAATGTGGGATTCAGATGTTCTTATATCTGACACTAGTAGGTTCAGAATTTTTCCTTCTTGCAGCCATGGCCTATGATCGTTATGTGGCCATCTGCCATCCACTCCATTATTCTAATCTTATGAACCGTAAAATGTGCTTCCTTTTGGTGTCTGCCTGCTGGTGTCTGGGAATGGTGGATGGGTTCATGCTCACACCTGTCACCATGACATTCCCATTCTGCAGATCTCGGCAGATCCAACATTTCTTCTGTGAGACCCCTGCTCTAATGAAGCTTTCTTGTTCAGACACAACCCTCTATGAGACGCTTATGTATGTATGCTGTGTCCTCATGCTTCTTATACCTGTAACAGCAATTTCAAGCTCTTATTATTTAATCCTTCTTACCATCTACAGGATGAAATCAGCAGAAGGCCAGAAGAAGGCATTTGCGACTTGTTCTTCTCATATGATTGTGGTTACTATTTTCTATGGGGCTGCTGTGTACACATACATGCTTCCCAATTCTTTTCACACACCTGAGAAGGACATGTTGGCCTCTGTTTTTTACACAATACTAACACCTGTTCTAAACCCATTCATATATAGTTTTAGGAACAAAGATGTCACAGCAGCTCTGACAAAAATGGTGAATGTGGGGGTTCTTATGCGCTGATCTTTAAAGTAAGTAATGTGTTTCTTCTTTTTACACATCAGAGTTTTATATCTTATTTTACATTATTCCTCAGATTATGATATAATAAACTGTCATCCCACATTCTGTTCAGACCTCTATGTTTCTTCGGGGGCCACATCATGAATTTCTCAGGATTTAATCCTACACTTGCACTCAAAAAATCTCTAGTAGTGCTCAGAGGAAGATATGGGAAGCCAGGGATGGAATCCTGAACATTGTACTCTCTCTGCAGGTACCATTCCAAATATTTTTTGGAATTGTTACTATAATGAAGTCACTATTTGCTTTCATTGACACATGTTGAAACAACCATTAAAAGAAATGGAGGGCTGGAGTGATAGCACAGTGGATAGGGCGCTTGCCTTGCACGCAGCCAACATGACCAACACAGGTCCGATTCCCAGCACCACATATGGTCCCCTGAGCACCGCCAGGAGCAATTCCTGAGTGCATGAGCCAGGAGTAACCTCTGAGCATCGCCGGGTATGACCCAAAAAGCAAAAAAAAAAAAAAAAGAAATGGAGAAAGGCAGTTTTCTAAAACATACTTTTCTCCTAGGAAAAATGAGCCAGAGATTTCCTACACTAAAAGTATATGTTCACTGAACTTGTGGGAATTTCAAAGTTATGTATTCTTTTGCTATAAACTAGAGCTCATTTTTTCCTCTCTCAATGGAATCCATTGAAAATTGCATTAAAATCAAAAGAAAACCAGTTTAGAAACAATGGAATTATCTCAGGAGAGATGAGCAAAGGCTCTGCAACACAGCTATGATGTGTACTGTGTTGAACTGCACTTATTCTGGGTCTACCCAATTTTTATCTCCATTTACTACAAAAATATAGTCACTTTTCCCTTCTGAATTCATTGAATCTCCCATTGCAATAAAATGGGGGAAAAGCTTTTCTTAAAACTCACTTGCTCCAAAAAAGAATTGATCTAGAGTTTCTCTGCACTACTCCTATGTGTAGTATGTTGAAAAGCACTTATTCGTGATAATGCCCAGTTTTCCTTCCTTTGCTCTAAAACTAGAAAGGCTTTTACCATTCTTTGAACTCCATTAAAACTTCATTGAAATCAGTGGGCAAAAGAATTTCCCTTCATTCCTTCAAAAACTAGAAATTGAGCTTCCATATGATCCCGCAATACCACTTCTAGGAATATACCTCAAGGGTGCACATTTCTACACAATAGAAATGACATCTGTATGTTCATTGCAGCACTGTTCAAAATAGCCAGAATCTGGAAACAGCCTGAGTGCTCAAGACGAAGGACTGGTTAAAGAAACTTTGGCACATCTACACAATGGAATACTATGCAGCTGTTAGGAGAGATGAAGTCATGAAATTTGGTTGTAAGTAGATGGACATGGAGAGTATCAAGCTAAGTGAAATGAGTCAAAAAGAGAGGGACAGGCATGCACTAATTTGTGTATTATAAAATAACATAATATGAGACTAACACCCAAGGACAGTAGACACAAGGGCCAGGAATATTGCCCCACGGTTGAAAGCCTGTCTTATGATCTGGGGGGAAAGGCAATTGGAATAGAGAAAGGATACTAAGACAATAATGGTTGGAGGAAACATTGGGGATGGGAGATGTGTGCTGAAAGATAAAGGACCAAATGTGATCATCTCTCAGTATCTGTATTGAAAACCATAATGCCCAAAAGTAGAGAGAATGGCAGAAATTTTTTGCTATTTTGACATTTTGATGTCAAGAGGCAGGGGGGATGGTTGGAAAGGGGGGTAAGGGGGCATACTGGAGACATTGGTGGTGGAGAATGTGCACTGGTAAGGGATGGATGTTTGATCATTGTATGACTGAAACTCAAATATGAAAGCTTTATAACTGTATCTCACAGTGATTTAATAAACAAAAAATTTTAAAATGAATTGTCCTAAAAATACACTTTCCCTGTGAAGAAAAGGGCAGTTTAAGCAATCCTGCACTATAGTTATATATAGTATTGAACTGCATATTTCATGTACATATCCAGTATTCTTTTCCTTTAAAAATGTGGTCATTTCCTTTTGATTGAAATCTTTTGATCTCCCATAAAAATCTGTGAGGAAACACAGTTACTTTTTTTATTTTTTTTATTTTATGAGGTAGTTCACAATAGTTGATGACATTTAATATTCAAACACCAATCCTACCACCATTACACCTTTCCATCACCATATTTTGGGTGTTTCCATACTGAACCCCAATCCCTGTTCCAAAGCAGAACCAAAATAATGTATTTTGTATTGTTTGTTATGAAAAAACACAGAAAATGCTACAAAAAGTATCATTGTAGAAAAGAGTGTGAAGATTATTCTATTTCAACAGGAGTCATTAAGACCTTCTATAGGATATCATTAACATGTTGTTAAAGTTTGAGCCTTGTGTACTTTTATATATACATATATATGTTTAAAAAAAGATAAATATATATATATATGTCCCTCTAATATAGGTTACCTACTACTGTGAACCCTATCAAATGTGGTGTTGTGCTCTTGGATTATGGGTAGGGAGTGCTGTATGGAGTGTTGTGTGGCCTCAAATGTGGCCTCAAGGTCCAGGAATAGGTTCAATCATAGGTAAGACTTGGTTCAAGTGCATGGTAAGAAGCCTCGAGCATGGTGGTGGTTGAGTTCTGGAGGTTTTCAGCTGCTGGTTTCTTTGGGGCAGAAAGGGCTCTCACCCAGCTCCCCCTAGGGCACTAAAGTGAAAAAAACAGGAGCAGGGTCTGGTGGCATGGTTATGGCAAGAGTCATGTTATGCTCCCTTCCAGGAGAGGCAACACAGTTCTACAGAAAGAATAAGCGAGACTAACTTTACTGCAATGATACTATATGTAGGATCTTCAAACAAACTTCTAGTGGGAATGTACAGTTTTGTCTTTTACTATAAATTCCAGCTCACTTTTAAACTGCATTTTATATATGGTGGGCTGGAGCGATAGCACAGCAGGTAGGGCGTTTGCCTTGCAAGCGGCCAACATGGCCAAGCCGAGTTTGATTCCTCCACCCCTCTCAGAGAGCCCGGCAAGCTACCGAGAGTATCTCACCCACACGGTAAAGCCTATCTAGCAAACTACCCGTGACGTATTCAATATGCCAAACACAGTAACAAGTGTCACAATGAAGACGTTACTGGGCCTGCTTGAGCAAATCGATGAACAACGGGAGGACAGTGACATATAAAGTAGCATCGAAAAGAATGAAAAAATTCACTTTAGTAGCAACATAATTTTCTCAGGAAAGAGTGAGCGAAAACTTAGCTGCACAACAATATCTCCAACTACAATGGCTCTTTTGTTCTTAAAATAAAGTCCTTTGCTTTGCTTTTAGAACTATTTCCTTTCTTTGAAATCCCCTGAGACTCCCACTGAAATCAGTTTGAAACTCACTTTCCTAAAATCGCATGTTTGTGGTAAGGAGTTGTTCAAAAATAATATACTATAGGGCTGGAGTGATAGCACAGCAGGTAGGGCATTTGTCTTGCACACAGCCAACCTGGGTTCAATTCCAAGCATCCCATATGGTCCCCTGAGCATTGCCAGGAATTATTTCTAAGTGCAAAGCCAGGAGTAACTCCTGAACATCCCCAGGTGTGACCCAAAAATCAAAAGATGATGATAATAATAATAATAACAATAACAATAATATACTATGTCCCAATAGAGAAAGGAAACAAAAAGCCTATCAGTCAAATTTCTCCAAATATTAGTTTCCATTTTTAAAATACTTAATTGAAAATAAAATCACCTTCAAAGTCAAGTATTTGATATGCTTGAACATGCAAATATCATCGAATGAACACCAAAATTTATTTTAGATACACCCTGACTCCCACACTTGTAGGGATCATGGCTGGAATTAATTACTTCCCACAAATAAATGAATATTTATTTATTTTATATGAAAGTTCTCTACACTAGGAAACAAAATCAGTAATACAAGTCTGAATTCAACATAGAAGAACATCACCAATGTTTAAATCACACCTAGTTATAAATTTGATTATGCTTCCAATTAAGCTACATTTTAACTGGTGTACCACATTTTCTAGACTTTTAACTAGTTACATTAAATATCCTACACCTTTCTTGTATCACTTGATCCTTTCAAATAGTTCACAATATTCCTAAAACATTCCAAATCGTGTATGTGTTTTCAACATACTCTTCCAGTAGTCATCGTTTCTGAAATTGATGATCCTAAGTCAGTTTGAGTCATATTTGAGTAAAGAGAGACTAGCATAGAATTTATGTCTAGAAAAGAAGATACAGTGCAAGAAAACATAGGAGATGAATTGTCTACAGGTATTTCATCCTCCCATTACATAGCTTTATTGGCAACACCAATTTCACCAAGATGAAAGACTATTCATTTACTGACTCATTAGTAGTGAAACATGATTTATAAATTTCAAATTCCAATTTAAATTAAGCCTTCATTTTTACTGTATTATCATCTAAGTTACCCACCTTTGAAACCGTTAAAATTTCAACTTAAAATTTCAACTTAACCTTAAAATTTCAACTCCACGAAAGAAGTAGTATGTTGTCAACATTTCTGTTGTGGTTTTATCATTACATTCTTGGTCTGACAGGTTATATATTATAGTGACATTCTGACGTCAAGAGAAAAATAAAATCAAGAGTGAATGTTAAATATTCTCCTAAAATAGTCCACATAGATATGAATCCAATTGTGCAGTGTTCACAAGATTAGGTAAGTACTTCTAGTCCTATATTTCTTTCAAATAAGAATGTAGCATTTATGGGGGTATGGTGCTGCCAACAGGTCAGTCTGCACCTCTGAGGCGAGTGCACATTCAGACTTCCAGATCCCCCAAAATTGCTGCTGTGCCTTTGGCCAGACCCCAAAAACTTGGGGCAAAGTTTACCAAGAAAGTAAACAAACAAAAGTTAGGTATGTGGGAGACACACCCACAAACCACCTCCAGCTCAGCTATATAAT